GAGGGAGGGAGGGAGGGAGGGAAACTCCAAAGTTGTTCCATTTTCCTCAGGCTTTCCTATTCCCATAGACTTTCTGGGCTGTGTTAAGGACCCCAGTCATAACTCCTATGTCTTCACCCTCTCTCTAGAAAATCCACTCTCCTCAGTATAAGGAAAGTGCTCCATACTTTCTTATCTAATGTCCTCTAAAGGCCTCCTCTGTTCTTTTATAGCCCCATGTCCTCCTGTCTTACTCTTCCTTTGAGTCTAGATGCTTTGTTCTCTTCAATCACACCCCAGTCTTCTACAATCTAACTTCTAACCACACAAGACCTTTCATAGGTCACTCTCAAACCCCTCAGGACTCTCTGTCCTTATTGATGACAATGTTTCTTTCAATATTGTCTTCTAGCTTTCTTTAACATCTCCTTGTTTTTGATCATTGTTTTGTGGATCTACTACTACTCTCTAAAGGTTTCCACTGCCCATTTAGTTTCCTCTTTTCAGTCCTTAAATGCTATTTATCCTCATGGCTCCAATATGGTCATCTCCATCTTTAATCAATTTTCCTAGGCTAGTGTATTAACTATTCTCTGAAATTAGGGAACAGCCTCAAACTGGCTTCCATTTTTTCCCCTCATCTCTCATAAACCCACTTCCACTGACTATTAGTGTAATCCCTCAAGATCACTAAATCTGTATGTCTGTCCATCTAAATGTCTGTTTATCTAGGCAAATGCTCTACCATTTGTTATAACTCTCAGCCTTCCATGATCCCTCCAAAACACTAAATTAATCATTCTTATATTTAAACATTTTAAATAATTTCCTTTCATTTTCAGGATAGAGTTCAAATTTCTTTACATACCATAAAGAAATCTTTATAATTTGGCCTTTACCATATTGATCAGCCTCATCTGATAACATCAACCTGTTTAACATCAGCCACAGTAAATAACTATCGTGTCCTTGAACTTTTCATGTTACCCTCAAGAGTCCTGGGTCCTGCATTTGTGTTGTTCTTTCTCAGAGGAACACTCATCCCTTTGGTAATTTCTCTTTCTGATTTGATTCAATTACCATCTCCTTTGATAGGCTGCCCCATCACAGTGCTGCTGCCTCCCCACCCAGTTCCCCATTCTCATTATACCCTTACCTACACGAAAATAGCACATATCACACTGTGTTTTTCTCCAAATCTAGTGAATGGAAAATAAAATTTTTATATCTACAGCCTCAAAATTAGTCTGAAATAGAAGAGGCCCACAGTAAAAGTAGCTGGAAAAAGTAAGATAGTAAGTCAGCATACTTGCACAACATTGAAATTGTAGGATTCAACTCAGGAAAAAAAAAAAAACCTATCAGTTATTTTATTGAAGCAACACAGAATCTTACTAAGTCCCCAAATAAATAACTGTGTGAGATGTTATGTGAAAACCCAAATAATTTGGTTTAAATACAATAACCTCTCTTCATTCTGATTACACCTTGTAGGCTTAACTATTTGAAAAGGATTCTGAGGCTTCTTTTTTTAAAAAAATATTTTATTTATTATTTTTATTTTATGTGTATGCGTGTATTGCCTGCATGGAGGTAAGTGCACCCATGTCATGCAATGCCTGCAGAGGACAGAAGAGACTGTCGGATCCCCGAACTGGAGTTACAGACAGTTGTTTGCTGCCATGTGGGTGCTGGGATTCAAACCTGGGTTTCCTACAAGAACAGTCAGTGTTCTTAACTACTGTGCTATCTCTCCAGCCCCCAGATCCTGAGGATTCTTATTTGTAGTTAGGCTGAGGCACAGCTTGAGGTTACATGGCTGAGATAAAAAAATCATCCATGAGTGAATATTGGAATTATAGCATATATTTACTTTGCTTTTTTGGTTGTGTGATACACAAAAATCATTTTATGTAATAAATGATATCAACTTAGTATTTCATCTGTTTGTATTTTGTGGTAAAATACCCCAAATGATACTATATGGTAGAGGCAATTCTTAATGTGAAAAGACTTTCTAATCAAGGATAGCAAATCCAGTGGTAGTTGGGTTCTATAACATGAATAAAATGCCCTAAATATTTCATATAGTAGTTGGAAAAAGTAATTCATTAAACTGAGGATTTGAGATACTAAGAAACAATTTTTTAACAGCCAGCAAGATGGCTCAGCAGTAAAGCACTGGCCACATACGCCTGATGACCTGAGTTTGATCCCTGGAACCCACTTAAGGTGGAAAGAGAGAATGTAATCCATAAGGTTGTTCTCTGACCTCTTCATGTACACTGTGGCACCCCCACCATCATGATAAATAAAAATTTTAATTTTTCCACTAAATGATAGGCAGTACTTTAACATTTAAGAGTCACGAAATTCATTTAATAGCCTTATAATTAACTTCAACATCTTAATAGTAAAACCATTAACTACAACTGAAGGTATCTCTTGTATTTTTAGTTTTAGTAACTATCTGTAGTCTAATTCTGCCTGATCATCCAAGAATCAATAAAGACAAAATCCTTAGCATTCCTTTTATATTGTTATATGACACAGTTAGAAACATATGATATTTATTTCCTATGTGAGAAAAGTATCTCAAGGTAGATGTGATTAAAACAAAGTACATGACTTAATCTATTACAGAAATACACTGTACCTGATCTTCTGCAATGTGGATTCGTGCATAAGGAGAATCCAATAAGGTATGTAAGGCCTGTAGGCATGCTGTAACATGCTCAATGGGCTCCTCAGGTCTAGGAGAACAAAGAAACTGTATACTCACACCTGAAATGCACAAAATGAAACCATGGGCTCACAATATAAAACACTTTATATTGTTTCATATCATATTTTTCTCTATTTGTCCATATTATCATTTTTATTAAAACATTTTATTATTTTCTATATATGAGTATATTGCCTGCATGTATACAATAAGTGTACCTATGTCATACAATGCCTGCAGAGGTCAAGAGAGGGTGTCAGAGTCCCTGGAACTGGAGTTACAGATAGTTGTAAGCTGCCATGTGGATGCTGGGAATGGAACCCAGGTCTCCTGCAAGAGCAGCCAGTGCTCTTAACCACTGAATCATCTCTCCAGCCCCCATATTACCATTTGTTTATTAATCCTAGAGAGTTAAAAATGGTTTCTAAGCTAAGCAGCCAAGTAACACAATGTTGAAGCCTTGCGTATAGCTTAATACTCAAATAAGTATGCACAAGAAAGAAATCCTCATGTCACCAGGCTGATTATGAAGATACTCACTTTTCTATTTCTAGGATATTTACAAATTATAATACATTAAGAATAAATTTATAATTGTTATATTTCACTAAAGGGTTGCCTAAGAATTATATATGTTTTTCCCCTAGATTTATTTTCTTTTTAATTATGCATCTATGTATGTGTCTGTTTATGGGTATATGAATGTGAGTATAGGGCCTGCAGAGGACAAAGGAATTGGATCTACCTGGAGCTGGAGTTATATACACTTATGAGTCACATGTCATAGGTGCTGGGAACCAAACTTGGGTCCTCTGGAAGAGTACTACATGCTCTTAACCACTGAGCCATCTCTCCATCCCCAACAAGGGTTGTATTATTTTTCAATTCTCTGTATATGTTTGTGTGTCTGTGTGACTAATGGACACATGCAAGTTCGGGTGCCTCAGAGTCTAGAGGAGAGTGTCAGCTCCCCTTGGGCTGGAGTTATGGGCCATTGTGAGCCACCCAATGCGGGTGCTGGGATCCAAACTCGGGTACTCTACAAGAGCAGCAAGTGTTCTTAACTGCTGAGCTACCTCTCCCACCTCCAAACAGAGTTGTTTAAATGTCAAGCTACAGAAGCACAAAAGATCTCATGGATAACAACCGTTCAATGTGTATAAGATGAAGACTTCAAGTTTTTCATATTTTCAATTATGAATTCTGCTCACAATTACATCTACCAACACCTTCTCATTCATGTTCCTTTTCAGTTCCCAAAACATATCACTAAAAGTGTCTTTAGAATATGTAAATACTTAAATATTAAAAGAGCATTTATAAATTAAAATTGATTTAAAACTATATTATCAACAATTTTTTCCTTGTGAGACAGTCTTTTAAAGGCCAAGAACAAAGAAACATGTTGAATAAAAAAATCACCCTCAGGTATTTTTCTAGTGAAAACTCTTCAGTATTGTTTTGTAAGCAGACACGATGGCTAAACTTTTAGAGTAGTTTTAAATAATTTAATTTTAAATAAAAATTCAGTTAACTGAAAAAATTCTTTTATCTTTGAATTGTGCTATGCAAAAAATTTCCATACCATTAAAACAAAAAAATTTTCAGAAGTAATACATCTTGAGATGCACTACTGTAACACCCTACCTAAAATCAGGTGCATTCTGTCTGTGTTAATTTCTGGCAATGACTTAGCACTGGCCATTGCTCCTGATGCTTGGTTTAAACTGACAGCTGTGGAGCGTTTTTGTAAACCAGATGCTGCAGCCACTTCTGTAGTCTCTGAACATGCAAATCCTGTGCTATTTAACCAAAGTGCCACTGCATGGAGAATTGGGGCCCAGGAATTCCGATAGTGAAGTCTAGCTGTATCAATAGTTTCGGGAGTATAAAATGCTCCGCCTGTAAAATAATCAAATCAATTAAAAACGTTATTTCCTATTACAAATGTTCACACATTTAAGAATTTCTTCATACAAAAGAGCATTCAAGCCACCAAGTCCTTCCCCAAACAAGCACTTTCTACAGTGGAGCTGGGGTGTGCCTGTCCCCACTGCCAGTGTCATTAAACATCCTTATCTTGTCCCACCCTGTTGCCACAGGCTAAACTTCCTCACTGCCACCTCTCTTTTTACTACCACCAAGGCCTCTGTCTCTTCCTTCTGTTTTTCTGCTCTTTCATTCCTCCTTACTCCTGTTTCCATAGCCAACACTGAGTTTCTACTCTCTCCCTGCTATGATGATGGATTAAGAAAGGAGAACTCAAGAGAACTCTAGTACTGTCCTCACAAATATTTAGAAGGAAGAATGATTTCTTTCTTTGAGTAGGAATTAATAATACATTTTCTAAACAAAAAAGTGTTCATAAGGTTTTGTATATTGACTTTAACAGTAGACTAATTAAAGTACAAACACTATGCAAAAGGACTTTGGGAACACAGCTCATTGCTAGACTAGGTTTTATGTGAAAACACATACAATGACCAGTATCATAGTATATTTCATCAGGTTTTGGTACAATGAGTTGTTTCCCATAGCTATTTTTTAAAAATATTTTATTTATTATTTTTATTTTATGTATATGAGTGTATTGCCTGCATGTATGTGAGTGCACCCATGTTGTGCAATGCCACGGAGGTCAGAAGACAGCTTTGGATTCCCCTGGAACTGGAGTTAAAGACAGTTCATAGCTGCCATGTAGGTGGTGGGAATCAAACCCCCTGGGTCCTCTGGAAGAGGAGTCTGCGCTCTTAACCACTGAGCCACCTTTCCAGATCCCCCACAGCTATTATTTATTTGAGACAAGGTCTCACTTTATAGCCTTGGCTGGCCTGTAACTCACTATGTAGGTGAGGCTAGCTTCAAACTCAGAGATCCAGCTGCCTGTGGCTCCTGAGTGCATATGCCACAACACCTAGCCTTCCCATAGCTATTTAGAGTATCCTTATTCATACAGCTATTACTATAACAGTGCTGAGATTTTTGCTTCCACTAACAAAAAAAGCTTTTTGCTGTAACACCTTGAATTTATAAATTCAGAGTGAAGGACATGCTCTAAATGAAACAATGTCAAGTTTGAGTCCACAAAATTTAAGATGTTAGTATTGCTAATGTGGGTGCTAACCTCTGCCAAGTCCATTTTTGTTCAATTAGTTTGAACTCCATAACACCAAAGTTCTGAATGCAATACTTACCATCTGGGGGAAGCTGACTAGAAAATTCAGCTGGCAAAGTCAAAAGTGCATAGTCTTTCAATGCTGCCAGCCACAGGCGGCTGAGTGTGGGCAGTTCAGGCTGTACCAGTGTTATTAAACTATCCGGAGGTAGTTCATCTATGGTTCCATAGTCATCATCATCATCGTCAGTATTTTTAGTTGCTCTTTTTGGTTTTGACTCTGCTTCTTTTTTAATATTCATAGCAACAACATATACCTAATAAGATATTCATGGGTTGAAAACAAGGCATAAGATAAAAATTAGATATTTAAAATTGGCATAATTAAGCAGTTGAATTATCCAAGGTAATTGGGTACAAATATTAGAAAATATCTAACTTTACGGATTCCTGATAACCACTGAGGAGTGACTCTTCTGCGCTGGAAGCTTTTTTTTTTTTCTTTTTTCTTTTGGAAGCAGGGTTTCCCTGTCCTGGAACTCACTATGTAGACCAGGCTGGCCTTGAACTCACAGATATCTGCCTGCCTCTGCCTCCCAAGTGTTGGGAATACAGGCATGCCGCCACCACGTCCAGCAGAAGCATTTTTTAACTTACTGGACTTCTGATATTCCTCCCACAGCATCTCCCTTGAGTTGGCTTCTGAGTTATCCTGGCAACCCTTGTTCTACTTATAAAGCCTCCTTTTTCCCCATGGAGCCTAACTTCCTCTTCTGCCTCTCTTGCCCAGACTTATTAGACATAATCAAACAGCATTCAAAGAAAAAGACTGAGAAAAGGGAGGAGGCCAAGGAAAGGCTCTTCATAAATATCCTCCTAACCCCTCTCTCACATAGTCCTTAAATGATACTTAGCAGTCTAACAATTCCAACATATAGCCAAGCTAAGACTGTAATTTATTTATCACATCTATTATCTGTATCCTTTCTTTCTAGTGAACCAAAGAGACATGTTATAACAACTTTCCTAAAACACAACTTTAAAGATTTTTCTTTGTTCAGTTTCTTTTTGTACTATAAGTTAGGCTCTGAGCAACTGATAATACAATGCTGGAAAACATTAATAAAAAAGTAAGAGAAAAAAAAAACACCCCAAAACAAAGGAATAACAAGAAAAACAACTGTACTACATAAAAACTTTGAGAAAACTGTTTTCCTTCTCCAGTGTTATTCCATTGTGCCCAGTGATGAAGTCATGTTTCTGTACATCCTAAGCTTCTTACAGGAGGGCTGCATCTTATCTGTGTTCCTACCATAAGACAAATGGAGCAAAGAGAAACAGAGGAGTTAACTGAATTCCAAAATATGGAGATTGGATCGTGGGTTATAAACCCCATATTCATGATTCCCAACACTGGTTACTCCCCTAAATTTGACATTATACTCACATTTTAATTAAATGTCCAATAAACACAATAAAAATGTCCAGTCATTCATCTGAAACCTTATCCAGTACCTTGTGTATGTTATCATGACACAAACTGAGGTAACAAACACAAATACCTGGCTTTTTCTTTCTGTGAACTTACAATTACAATGATACAGGAACAAGAAAGATACTGAAAAAATTTTTAATGATTTTAAGCTCGGTGTGGAGGTGCACTCCTATAATCTAGAGAGGCTGGGAGAGAAGAACCTGAGTCTGAGGCTAGCCTGGGTTACACAGCAAGACACTGTCTTAAAAAGGTAAAGAGGGGGTTGGAGAGATGGCTCAGCAGTTAAGAGCACTGACTGCTCCTGCAGAGGACCCAGGTTCAATTCCTAGCACCTATATAACAGCTAATAACTGTCCTAACTCCAGTTCCAGGGGATTCGATGCCCTCTTCTGACCTCTGTGGGCATTGCACAACACGGGTGCACTTACACACATGCAGGCAGTACACTCATACACATAAAATAAAAATAAATAAAATTTTTTAATTAAGAAAGAAAAAAGAGGGACAAAGCCCTAAACTTTGTTTCTAATGACACTTCCTAGCACACCTGTGTCTTCAGTGAATGAAGGACTCTTAGGGAGCATCAAGAATGGACAGATCTGAACTCTGGAAGGATGAGAAAGGCAAGGCAGAGTTTGCAGGGACAAAGATGCACTCTTACAGGCAAAGCTGGGAAGGGAGATTGTGGGCAGAGGGAGCAGCAAGACAAGAGCATAACAATAAGGAATGGCCTGGCATTTTGAGTACTGCAAAAGTTTGCTACAGCCTGACAACAGGATGTAAGGCAGAGTTGGCTGAAGCTTTGACTTGGTAGGCAATTGGGATGAGCAATCATTGTAGGAACTTTTAATGTCATACATTTGTATTTTTCTCAACTTTTATTTTAATAATTATGTTACAAAAGGTTTAGAAAGGTTAAAAAAAACCTGATTATAATGGCACACACTTGTAATCCTAGTGCTCAGGAGATAGAGGGAGGAGAATTGATGCAAGTGAACAAAGAACATTCATGTCTTCATATTATAAATAACACTGTAAGTAAACATGATTGTAAGCTTATTTCTTTTCCTCATAAAAGAAAAGGACCATAAAAGGAATTCCTGGGTCAGTGATCACAAATATTTTTATGGTTTTCAATAGAAATGCTAAGTACTTTCTTGTAATTTTTGTTGTTACTGTTGTTTCTGTTTGTTTCTAGACAAGTACTCTCCCACTGAGAGAACACACCCAGGCCCTGCCAGATGCTTTTCTAAAAGAGTTCTGTACTGTACACCGTTACCTGAAATACATGGCAATATATTTTTATATGATTTAAACATATTTTGTCTTGTTTTTTTATTAGGTATTTTTCTTATCAGATTTTATGTAAGGCAAATCAGCAACAGAAGCAAAATGGAAATTAAAGCTGCAAACTTACTATTCAGGTATAATGCTGTTAACACTGCAAATATGTTGTGTGTACACATTCAAAGACTTCCAAATAGTAAGTATGCACATAAAATTTTGAACCCAGTTTTCTATTCACTTAACACTGTCATCTTTTAGGCTCAAGATATGCATTTAGGGCATTTCAACACTACGGAATAACATTCGAATAATAATACTACGAAAATAAAATTCTTGAGGCAGAAATTTTCTGTATATCTTTTAAGTATTCCTTAAGACAAAATGGCCAACAAACGTGCATGGTCTGAAAAAGTGCTTTTGGCTTTCTGTTTGTCTGTTTGTTTGTTTGTTTGTTTGTGAGACAGAATCTCACTAGGTAGCCCTGGCTAGCCTGGAACACATTCTATGGATCAAGCTGAACTTGAACTCACAGAAATCTGCCTGCTTCTGCCCTTGAGTGCTGGGACTAGAGGCATATGCCACTGTATTCAGTCCTTAAAAAGTATTTTGAAATATACCAACCCTTTTAAAAGTTTTACTGACACTGTCATTTAAAAAGACACTAATTTGGGACTGGAGAGATCGCTCAGAGGTTAAGAACACTGGTTGTTCTTGCAGAAGACCTGGGTTTGAATCCCAGCACCCACATGGCAGCTAACAACTGTCTGTAACTCCAGTTCCAGGGGATCTGACAGCCTCTTCTGTCCTCCGTGGGCACTGCATGACACGGGTGCACTTACCTACATTCAGGCAATACATGCATACACATTAAAAAATTTTTTTCTAAAGATACTAATTTACCTAGGGATTGTTTTGTTACCTAGGGACTGTTTAGTATTTCTTCACCCCCCCCATACTTATTGGTAGCTTTATTTCTCCTTTGTGAATTGTTAATTCGTATTCTTTTCTAAAAAATGTATATTTTAGGAGCCAGAGAAATGGCTCAGTGGTTAAGAGCATTGGCTGCTCCTGCAGAGAACCTGGGTTTGATTCCCAACACCCACATGGTGGCTAACAGCCATCCATAACTACAGATCCAGAGGAATTCAAGGCTCTCTTCTTACCTCTGTGGGCATGCATGCCATGGGTGTTTTTACATACATGTAGGCAGAACACTCATACACAGCAAATAAAAATAAGCAAAATACTAAAGAATAAAAATATATTGTTTTAGCATAATTACTCTGAGATTCAGTGAGAAGAGGTGAAGGAAAGTAGACTCAAGAGTAGAAAAACAAATGAGGATGAATTAGACCAGGTGACAGATAATAAGAGCATCAAGGCAGCATGGGAAGAACATTTGCCTAGAGAAATGGAGCAGTGCACAGGCTCTACTGCTAAGGGTTAAAAATCACTACACTGAATTAGATGCCATTTTTATTTTGAAAAGTGGAGATAACAAAAACAACTAAAATAACTAGACCAGAATTTATGAGAGAAGTTTGCGTGAAAAAGTAGATAGAGAATCTATATTTACAGAAGTAAAAGCTACAGAGGCTACTGGGTGTGGATGGGAACGTCCTAGAGTGTACAAGGTAAGAAGGTTTGGGAAAAACAGCAATATTTCAGATGTGGCAAGTAAAAAAAAAAAGCCAGCAAGTAGAACTGACCATGAAAAACCAGCCCCAAGGGCATAGCATTAGAGGAGTCATGGAAAGCAAAGGGGCCCTATGAGAGACAGTATCAAATGCTGAAGCAACAGCCATGGAAAGGTGTCCAATGACTTGGATGATGTTATTAGTGGCTTTATAGTGAAAGTAATCTCAGTGAAGTGGTGAGACTGAAACCAGACTTTAGAAGACTGAGAAGTCAGTGACTAATTAAGGAAGTGAAAATAATAAATTCCTTCAATAAATTGCTGGACATAGAGTGGGGAGGGAGAGGGAGGGAGAAAAGGGAGGGGGAAAAGGGAGAGAAAGAGGGAGACAGCTAGAACAAGAGTGAAGTTGAGAGAGAGAGAGACAGAGACAGAGATAGAGAGACATAGGCAAAGTCAAAGAGCATGTAGAAGATGCCAAAGATCCAGAAGGGTAAACAACAGATAATACTGAGCTTTTGCACAGTCTGCTCCTCACACTGATGCCTGACAGTATGTATTCCTGCCTCCATGTTTCCATTTAAACCTCACTGTCTCCAAGAATTCAGCTCTGAACCTACACCCTAGCAGCAGCACCTCTGCACTGCATTTCAAAACACTTAGTATTTCTCCTATGATAAAACTCCTGGCATTCTATTGCATCTCCTTGTTTTTCTTGCTCAGTAAATATAGTACATCTGTCTTGTATTCTCAAGGGTCACCCTGGCTCAGAGCTTATGCTTAATAACACATTGTTGGATGAATCAGAGTGAAATAAGAAAATGAAAAACATTAGGCTCAGATTCAAGAAAAACTGTAATGCAATATTAATTATAGTATTAATAACAGCAGGTAACATTCATTATGGATAAAATACTGTAAGTATTATACAGAATTTTACACTGATATTTGATTTCATTTATACCATAATCCTAGGAAATGTTTAGCCATTTTCCATACTTTAATGTTAAGAAAACAAGTTCTCAATAGGCAGGTAAATAACATACCCAATGTCACAGGGTATACCTAAATCTAAAGACTTGAAGGAAACAGTCTGTGGAGTTGGGAAACTAAAATCCTCTAACAGAAAAAAACAAAAGCAAGGATAGGTCTTGAGTAGAGAGATCTAGAATACTCTAGTTCTAAGAGAAAAACACTGAAGGAAAACGCCTGGGCTAGAGAGATGGCTCAGCAGCTAAGAGCCCTGACTGCTCTTACAGAGAACCCGGATTTGATTCCCAGTACCCACATGGCAGCTGGGTGTGGGAGAGTTGGTCTTCTTTAAAGGAGTGACTCTACATAGACTGACTAGATTCGAGTGGATGAACTCACACCAAGGGACACCTGGGTAAAAAAGTTTGACTTGCTAGGCCTTAATATATATTACAGAATGCATGAAGTCTGGTGAGGGGGGATTACAGGGGAGTGACGACAAGAGAGGGGGTCTAAATATGATTAAGACATATTGTATGAAATGCACAAAAATTCAATAAAAACATAATTTAAAAATATATAATTAGATTTCCATTAATTTTAAGGACTAAAATGTTATAAATAAAGCCATCATTTTACTAATATAATCGAAAACTTTATTTCTCCAAAATGTAATCAGATGACCCAGTGCTTAAGGGCACTCATTGGCTGCTCTTCCAGAGGACCTGGGTTCGATTCTCAGCACCCACATGGTGGCTAACAACTGTCTGGAACTGCCACTGCAGAAGATCTGATACCCTCTTCTGACCTCCATGGGCATTGCACAACATGGGTGTACTTATATACATATGGGCTAAACACTCATACACATAAAATAAAAGTAATAATAAATAAATAAATATTTTTAAAACATAAAGCAAAACCAAAATGTCATCAGAGTAAAATACTGGATTCTTCAAGATACTTTATTTACAAGACAGCTTGATTATATTCTAAAAATCAGAAAGAAAATTAATTTCTATGACACATTATTGAACTCCATATTTTGCATGTTTTTCTTTCTATAAAAGAATAAATCCAATCCCCTCCCCCTCAAAAGCCCAGCATCCTTTATCCTGACTGCTGCATGCTTTGAGCCAGCGACCGCTATTCAATGGTCATAGGCTGTTCATACCATGGAAATAGGGACATAAGAATGAGCTGAGCTAGTAAGAAAACAGCTGCTTCACATACTAGAGGGCAGATGACGAGAATTCAAAAGCAACTGGCCAACATTTAGAAAAAAGAAATTAAAACAACACAATTTTATATACAGACACAGACATAGACACACACGCACACGCACGCGTGCACACACACATACACACACACACAGTGATTGTGGGAATAAAACAAGTAAAACCAGCTATTTAAAAAAATTAAATCCCTGCAGTATAGATATCAAGGTAGGAAGTCTTCTAAAATTTAATCAAATAAAAAGACTCCTAGCATAAAATATTTTCTATTTTTTGTGTTTCCCATGCCTAATTTCCCAATACTAAATAATCCTTCATCAATATGAATTTTCTTTCAGACAGGGCTCTTACTTTGCACTGGCACAGAACTGACTATGTGGCCCAGAGTGACCCGAACATGGCATAGGGAGCCTCAGCCTCCCTAGTACTGAGATTACAGTTGTATGTTACCATGCCAAGTTTACAAAAAAAACTGATTAACAGATTTTCAAAAGCATTCCATATCAATGATCAATTTGAATACACAAAAAGGTTTTACCATCAGGAGTAGGTAACATTTTCTCAGGGATGGAAAAATGGTGAAGCAGTAAGAGGCTGTATTTACCTCAGCCCATGCCTTGAGAACAGCCAGTTTTTCCATGGTGGTGGCACTCTCTCGGTACAGTTGGCTAGAAGATCCCTTTCCAGCCTGCACTTTGTCCAGAGAAGAGACGAGCAGATTATGTACCCGGCGGAGATCGTTGAGGTCACTAACAACTCCACTTCCAATCCATGTGCTGCATACCTAGCCAAGGAACACAATGTCATTGTGCACAGACAGACACACAGACACACAGACAGACAGACAGACAGACACACACACACACAATCTATGAGAATGAAATATTTTCTTCCTTGATGGACAAATTTTTAAAAAAACTATAAAACTATATTTTTCATAAAAAATGAATAGCAAGTATAGATTTTATTATATTCCTATATAGAAAATGAAGTCATATTTACTTAACTTTTCAGAGTCTTAGTGGAGATAGCATGATGTTGACTCTAAACATTTTTCAATGCTGAATTTTAAGTGCCAGTAAGAGACTTGTGAGAAAATATTCATCAGACATTTGGAAACTTTGGTCTAGATTTCAGAAGCAAGTTCAAAGATAACTACATAAACCCAGGAACTTCTATATGAAGGCAATAACGAAAGTAATATTACTAAGTAAATTTCTTTAAGGATAGGTTATTAAAAAGTCTTAGTACATCCATCCAGAAAACAGGGAAAATAGTTATACTTAAAAGACAAGTGGAAAAAACACAAATTAGAAATTGAAAACTTCAGAAAAACCAGGCAAAGCCAGTGACACTGAGTCAAGGGGAGAATTTCATCAAGGAAGAGGCTGGTGCCAATGCCAACTTTATCAAAAATGATTATAAGTCACAACTTTTGGGTAAAAGGCAAAAAGGAACAAGAAGATTGTCAAGGAAAACATGTGGGAAGGGTTGAGGTAGTGTCACACAATTAACATATAGATGTCTCTGCAATGGAACTGAGGAATCACTCTCAAGAGATGGATCAATACTAAAACCATATTCAGCTTCGGGGGTAAATAGGCACCGTGAGCTCAGGCTTTTGTTTTTCAGAGTATTTGAGTTTCAAATTATTACTAATGGACTTGTTTTCCTGTATTTAAAACTTTAAAAACTGAGATTAAATACATAAACAACTGTATTCACTTAAAATCTTACACTCAAAGAATAAAAAACTAAGTTTTAATAAAATAAGAACATTTGAAAACGTATTTTATCAACTACAGACATTCTTCTGGAAAAATGAAATGTCAATTAAAATAATTCTGCAAGTAGAAAACTCATGTGCCAGAAATTAAATGGGAACATTAAAAGACAGTAAGGAGGGGGCTAGAGAGATTGCTCAGTGGTTAAGAGCACTGGCTGCTCTTGCAGAGGACCTCAGTTCAATTCTCGACACCCACACAGCAGCTAACAACCATCTGCAACTACAGTTCCAGAAGACTCGACACCCTCTTCTGACCTCTACAGGCACTGTATGACAAGGGTGCACTTATACACGGTCATATTCATAAAAATAAATAAAATATGAAAAAATAAAAGAGCTGCTTCCTAAGGAAACTAAATATACTAGACAAATTTGATATTTCAGTACAATTTGATAGAAATATAACTAGAAGTAGGGGGTACTTGTGAATAACTGGGAATTTGGCCCCAATTTTCCTTGCAAAATTTTAAGCATTTTTTTTTTTCCTTTAAAGACAAAGACTCTAGGGGTTGGAGAGATAGTTTAGAGGTTAAGAACACTTGCTGTTCTTGCAGAGGACCAGAGTTTGGTTACCAGCACCCATGTCAAGCAGCTCACACAGTCAGTAACTCCCAACTCTGGGAACTCTGATACCCTCTTCTAGCCTCTGTGGCATTTTCATACATGTGGACATACATACACACACATACTAAATAAAAAAAATAGCTGGGCATGGTAGTACATGCTGCTAATCCCAGCACTAAGATGGCACAGGCAGGCAGATCTGGTCTAATAGTGAGTTCCACACCAGCCTGGGCTACACTGTAAGACCTTGTCTCAATCAACCAAAAATAAATTAAAAAAAAAAAACTAGAGTCAGAGATAGATTGCAGATAATGCTGCTTTATATATTTGTTTATAAAAAAGATAATGGAGCAATAGATCACCAAAATCATATTTAGATAAAAGACCCTGGCCTTAAACCAAATGGGTGAATTTATGTAGGTAAATTTTAAGTTCAACTGACATATTTGAGGATGCATTGTTTGTGATTCTAATCTTACTTTAACTGATTTTTTTTGTTCATTCACTGATTAATGACCCCAGTTTAATTACATGAAGTTCTCTTATGATTTCTAAGAATTACTGTGATATTAAGACTTTTTAAGAGTATTCTAGGGGCTGGGGAGATGGCTCAGTGGTTAAGAACACTGGCTGTTCTTGCAGAAGAGCCAGGTTCGAATCCCAGCACCCACATGGCAGGTAACAGCTGTCTGTAACTCCAGTGCCAGGGGATCTGACAGCTTCTTCTGTCCTCCACGGACATTGCATGACACGGGTGCACTTACCTACATGCAGACAAAACACACATACATATAAATTTAAAAAAAAAAAAAGTATTCTAGTCAACAAACTGGAACACTGTAATCCAACTCCTTCTTTTCTATCAAGAAAAGGCATTTGCAACCCACTGTCTCACTAGTTATTTAAACCTGCCACTAGGAAACAAGAAAATTTTTATAGAAAAAGCAGCACACACTACAAAATAAATTTAAGTTAAATTCAGTGACAGAAATTTTTCATGCCACTCATTTATTACATGAAATTCAGACAGTTTTTGCTCTTCTAATAATTGGGAGCTTTGTAGTAGAATTTGTCTACCTAATACAGTGCTCAGAAACAACCTCATTACATATGTATTTACACCCAACTGTGGTTTCTATGCTTGTATGTCTCTATGCCAAGTCATTGACTCTCATCCCATCACTTGAACCATGATGCAGAGACCTATTCCTCTAACAATGGCTTCTCTTCTCTCTTCCGCATGCTGTCCATGGGTGGAATTCACTCCTCTGAAAGCCACCATTAAGGCAATAAGCATCAAAGAAATGTATCTCAACAGTGGAAAGAAGAGGTAAAACCATTCAGTCACAGAGAGAACAAATAATTTCGACTCTATCACTAAAAAGAACAGAGTCTTCTTTGTCTAGAAATCAGATGACGCCTGCTCATTAATTCTAAGCAAAACTGAGGGACCATAGTTCTGCACTCCAGAAAACTGGGGAGGAGACAGAAGTTTCTCAGTCCACAGGTTAGCAAACAAAGAAGCTAATTTTCTGAAAGAGTAGAACTTAGTACACAAATTTGTTCTCAGGATGAGGCATATGAGAAAGATAAACTTAGTAAAGGTTTAGGACATGGGCATTTTGGGTGGTTTTGTGACTGCAGACATAGTTTTCTAATATGAGAACAACAACCATTCATTAGTGAAGCACTGTTATTTTCAAAACTATCTTTTTACGATAATTCAATACCCCCCAAGCTGTAGAATTTTCATAACCTATGCTCAAAAATGTTTATTCCCTAATTAGTGCTACATTCTTCAGGTATTACAGATTTTTATATCTGACTTTATTTTAGTTTGCTTATGACTCTTACAGTTCTGCTAGTTTTGAGATGATGTAAGAACTAAGTATCCCAAATCCATATCCTGAGCTATGACAGAAAGAGGATGTAACCAACATTTACTGCTTTGCATTTCATATAGAACAAAAAGGAAATGAAGGGTAGTAAGATGGCTCAGCAGGAAGAGGTGGCTGTCTGGGAGCTTGAGAACCTGAGCTCCTGGACTCCACATAGTGGGAGGAGAGAACTGACTCAAGTTGTCCTCTGACCCCACAGAAGCACCACCCCCAAACACACATGCACATAAAATAAACAAATAAATGTAATAAAAAACTTGTTAAAAAGGAATGAATACTATTGTATTTCCAAGATTAAAAAAATTATTTCATTTTTCTCTCTTGAAGTGAAATCTTAAGACCCCTGGGAATTTAGAGAAGACAGCTGGAGAAAGCCCCATTTTTTTCTTCTTACCTGGCAAGCTTTTGCTATTATATCTGATGGGGTATCCTGAGAAAAGGCAGGTCTTAGAGCAGCTCCCACCTAAAAATGAACACATCATGTATCCTCAGAGCTAAGTAGTAAACTCTTGTGTTACTGGAGATTAAAATACAAAATACACATCTTTGTTCTTTTTTTTTTTTTTTTACATCACCTTCCCCTTATCTATCTTCAGTTATAATAAACTTAACCATCCTATTTTTATTTTAGCCTTCTAGGAAGTTATCAATATCAAATATATAGAAAAATAACACCCAAAAGGCAATCTTGGTCCATTTGCTTTTGTTTTTGTCCAATGGTAACTGGGATTTTCTGACAAGCGTCACATTTTACCAAAGATAATAAAAAACTGCTATCCTTTTGTTTGTTTGTTTTCCCCTATCTATATTTTTCTAAGCATATTTCTAACAGCATTTATTTATCTCTTGGGTAAATCTCATATAACTGGATCAATTTCTTTAAATGACTGAGGAAAAATAAAAGTTCAGAGGCACTAAAATACCTCAGAGATCATTTTACCTCACAAAAAGATAACTTAAAAGATTGCTAAAAAACCTTAGCTTTTGGGGACCAGCTCAGTGGGTAAAAGTGCTTGCTATGTAAGCCTGACAACCTGAGTTAGATTCCTGGGATCCATGGCAGAAGAGCAGAACCAACTCTGGAAAGTTGTCTTTTGACCTCACTCATGCACAGCGTGCGTGCACACACACACACATCATATACATACAATTAAAAAAAGCTTGCATGTACGAAATTCTCAATACATTTTTTAAGTTAAAAAAAGCTTTAATTGCCTTTTGTATTATCATTATATTAATAAGTAAAGGAATATGAGCTTTAGTTTTAAGGAAGCTAACAACAGTGATGGATGATATATGATGAAATGGAAATGTGCATGAGCTGACCTAAGACATTAATGTAGTCAATTCCTAAGTTGAGATTTCTTCCAACAGTCACTACACTGCAGCAACAGCAGTCTGGAGATGGTCAAAAGCTCCACTCTATGACTAAAGATGCATGGCAACTAACCACAGCATGTAAGCTGGAACTTGAAGGAGGACAAAAACTACAAAGAGGTTACTGGGTCACTGACAAAACGAGTATGACAGATTTAATAAGAGCAGCAAGTCAATATTGGATTTCCTGAGATTAAAACTGTGGTTATATAAGACAATGTTGTCTTTTGGAAATGTAGTCCAAAAGGTTCAAGGGTAAAAGAACATGATTTAAATAATTTACTTTCAAAGGATTTAGAAAAAATTTGTATATATGTCTATGGAAAGAAGAGAAGGAAAGACGAACAGAAAGAGTCAACATTATAGCAAATGAGTCAAAATTAGCAATGGACAATATGGAAAAGGTTACAAAAACAGTTTTGCACTGATCCTCCAACTTGTCTGTACATTTGAAATTATTTCTAAATAAAAGGTTCTGCTGTTGTTTGTTTGGGTTTTAGGTTTTTTGAGACAGAGTCTTATGGCCCAGGCTGGCCTTAAACTCACCATGTAGCTCAGGCTGGACTTGAAGTTAGAAATCTTGTACTTCTACGTCTCAAGTGTTGGGATTATAGGCCTGCATTGCTACACTAGGTTTAAATTTTAAAAAAAAATTTTAAAGACTCTCATTGTATGTGGGAGTAAGTAATTGTATACAGGCTTTCTACAGCCAGTTGGACTAAAGCTATAACCTCCTCACCTATATTAATGATGATAAAACAGAGGATTACACATTATTCATATGTATAATTTTAGGTACATTTGTACACAGCTTTTAGTCAAGATATGGTACATCTGAAGTGAAGGTTTGGTATAATCACAGCAAAAAGAGACTTCTATTTTGCTTGCTAACCTAATTTCTTAGTTTTCACGTAACCTTTCCCCCACTACTAGGATTAGTTTTACTGCACCGTGTCTGAAAACTTAAGAGCACAAATCTCAAGAAAAACAAGTTTATCTCTGTTTAAGAGTAGTAAAAAGACTTTTGAAACTATGTGATTCTTTCAGTAATCCCTCTAGCTGCTACTCTTTTTTTAAAAAAATATTTTATTTATTATTTTTATTTTATGTGTATGAGTGTATTGGCTGCATGTATGTGAGTGTGCCCATGTCATGCAATGCCATGGAGATCAGAAAAGGGCTTCGGATCCCCCTGGAACTGGAGTTAAGGACCGTTTGTAGCCGCCACGTGGGTGCTGGGAATCAAACCCAGGTCCTCTGCAAGAGCAGTCAGTGCTCTTAACTGCTAAGTCATCTCTCCAGCCCCTAGCTGCTACTCTTATAGACATCTCTTCACTCAGGGTGCAAAAGGAAGTTGCTTCTTATATCTAAAACTGCTCGTGGCAGCTCAGCATATACACAGACATATCCTGGCAGCAAACGCACAACACTTCCCAATGATCCTTTTATCTTTTAAAGGTATAGCACAGCTAAACATCCAAGCACAAAATTGGGAAGCTAGACTGGAATTTCTATTCTTGTTTTACTATTAATAAAGTGTCACAACTTGAAAAATAGTGACAACAGTTTGACATCATTATTTTCTCGTTGCAGGCTGACTGAACTATGAAATAAATCACAAAAGTAAAGGTATGAGTTCCATCTGAAAAAAAGGGCTGCAATTCCTCCTTTGATGATCTGTCCCTCGAAACATTTATTTTAAGTTTTTAAATAAACAGAAATGCTCACATTAGCTTGATACTGCTCCAGGATCACATGGCCTGGAAATTCTGGCTCAGGCACAGATGCAAATTTCTTGATAATGTCTTCAAGCGCCTGGAGCCCAGCCATCCGCAGTTGGTTGCTATGATCAGTTGCAGCCATGAATGCCATTCGAATCAGGTCAGAGAGATGGAGTACCAAGAGGTCATCTACAAAGAACAGAATACAGAGGGAAATTTTTCCCCCATATTAGTGTAATAACATAGAAGAGGGAAATTAAATAAACTTCTGACAAAGCACTTATGTTCCATATACTCCATGATGTCTAAAAAGATGCAATTTCAAGAAAACTTCCACATCAAGGTACCCAGAGTAGTAGCGGCATTCTACAATATGGCAGCACAGACAATCACAGGGTAGGCAGCGAGAGCTGAAGTGACATGCATGAGTAGCACAATTTTCCCCACAGAGCCTGTAATTCTATTGGAGCAGGGGTTGGAAGACTTCTCTATAAAGGATCAGACACTATTTTTGGCTTTGCAGGCCATATCATCTCTAATACGGATTCAACTCTGCTGTTAATACTACAAAAGTGTCCAGATAATGTTTACAGAACACTACTGACATACTATAGAAATGAACATGCTGAGCTTCAATAAACTTTATTTATAGAAACAGGCTGTGGCTGTATTTGGATCACAGGTTAGTCTGCCAATCCCTACTGTAGAAAAAAATCAGATGTGTAGTCAGGAAAATTAAATCCACAAAATAAGTTTAAAACTTTTTATGAGAATAGAGTAGGAAAGGGAAATCTTGTTCTTTTAGCTCAAGGGTAAAGTTTACTCTGGGTCTTGCTTAAAAGCAAGTCTCAAAGGAATTCAAATGACATAAAGCACAATAATTTAACTACATCCAAGGATGAAGTTCAGCACTATCTAAAGGAACACAGAAAATCCAATGCTAACATCTTAATATTTGCAGTGTCTGGCATCTTAATAAAAAGTTACCAAGAATGTAAAGATACAGACCCCCTAACAGAAAGAAAATCAATGACTAGGAACTGGCTCAAAAATGAAAGGTATAATAGAATTAGCAGACAAAGGCTTTATAAAGCCATTACACATTCCCTCTGCCAAAAAGAAAGGAAGAGCACAAATATGATGAAGGAGAAATGACAGACATAAACCACAATGTGGAGCTACAGAAGCATAAAACAAAACAAGAAAGACACTGAACAAGATAGGACAGATCAATGAATTAAAAATACACAGCAACAGCTAATATCTAAAGAAATGATCTGGGGGCTGGAGAAATGGCTCAGTGGTTAAGAGTACTGACTGTAGTTGCTGAGGACCTGGGTTCAGTTCCCAGCACCAACATGGCAGCTAAGAGCTATCTGTAACTACAGTTCCAGGGGATCTGATGCCCCTTCTGGTCTCTGCAGGCATTTCAAGACACAGGTACACTTACATACATGCAGGCAAAACACTCATATACATAAAATAAATCAATCAAAAAAAAAGAAAGAAAAAAATTACCAATCCCCAAGACACTACAATTTTTCAGAAGACTGTTAAGACAAAGTCTTTAAGTACTAACAATTCTGTGGCTCAATCTGACCCCTAAATAGTTACTTAAATAGGTGTCTGTTGTTATTGTTGAAAAGGTGGGAAGACATAAATCAGTAAGTGACTATATACCAATTTTTTAAATGTAAAATTTAAATAAATATCTGCTGGTTTGTGGAGTGCAAAGCATTTGGCTAGAAGGTTCCAAAGCTTCCTCATCTAAAGTAGGTAAAACATACAACCATTAAAAGTAAGGTGTAATAAGCCATTGCCAGAATTGGGAGAAAACATCCCATGCATAAGGATCTGAATTAAAATGGGTCTACTCAGAGTATGCCAACCAAAACATAAATAAAAAGTAATTCTCTTGCATGCTCTATAACGTACTTCAAGAGCCTAGGACTCTGTCATCAGTCTACCAAACTCAAAATAAAGCAGTTGTCCCTGGAATGAGCTACTTTCCTCAATAAGCCTCTATATATTACACCACAACCTTTTCTGTCTTTTTTCTAAAATTTAAGATGAATTTCTGAAGGTTAGGAATGGAAAGGGCAGAAACTGCAACACAGAGACAGAATTAGGGGCTGGTATACTGGTTTTAGCATAATCTACAAGTGGTAATTCCCTACAATTAAAGCACAGTACATGAGGAGACTGTGAGGTAAGCAGCTTTCAGAAGGCCCTGGACAGCACATGCATTGAGACTACACTTATCCAGGCAGGGCCCCATGAGACCAATTTACTGTCTATCCAGCCACAGCTGTGAAACACCTAGTAAGAAAAGCACATGCAGAGTACATGAGGAATCCATGCTGCACAGTACCACACTGTGAGAATGTGCAAACTTGAAAGGCATTCTCCCTTATACTAAGTAGTAAGCCCATGAAGAAAACAACCAGGAAAAGATAGTGAAGAGTCAGAGAAAGAACTAAACTAAAAAAATAAAAAAATAAAAAAAATAAAAAAAACCTTCCTATAAAAACTGAATGAAACTGAAAACCATTTGGAATCTTTTGAAAGGATACAAACAAAGGGTCATGAATGCTCTGAAATAAGAACAGAAAACCTGAGAGAGAGAGAGAGAGAGAGAGAGAGAGAGAGAGAGAGAGAGAGAGAGATATGAAGATGATATACTGAAGGTGGGACAAATGCAAAAAAACTTAGAGGAAAACTAAACACATAAAACTAGACTTAAGATCCACTATGGAGTCAGAAAGGAATAAAATATGACCATTGTATGAAGGGAAAGTTTGTAAAAATCTCTAAGAATGCAAGTAAAAGGGCAACATACAAGCACAGAAGAAAACAGTTAAGAAATAGAAGCCGTTGTTATGCTGAGGTATGTTCCTTCCAGTCCTATTCTCTCTAGGACTTTTATTAGGAAGGCATGTTGGATTTAGTCAAAGTCCTTCTTCTCCTCATCTATTGAGATGATCATGTGATTGTTGTCTTTAAGCCAGTTTATATGATTGATTTCATTTATTGACTTACATATGTTGAACCATCCCTGCATCTCTGGAATAAAGCTAACTTGATCATGGTAGATGATCTTTTTGATATATGCCTATATGCTGTTTGCAAGTACTTTACTGAGAAATTTTGCATCTGTGTTCATCAGGGACAGTGGCCTGTAGCTTTTTGTTGTTTAGCTGTGCCTAAACTTGCCCCTCTACTTCCATTTTTTGAATACTTTAAAAAGGACTGGTTGTAGTTCTTCTTTGATGGTCTGGTAGAATTCTGCTGTGAATCCATCTAGACCTGGGATCTGTTTCAGTTGGAAGGCTTTGTGTTACTGTTTCAATCTCCTTATTTGTTATGAATCTGCTTAAGTTTTTTAGGTTTTCTAGCTTAATGGAATATGTTTTTTTTTTTGAGAAATCTCCATATTGATTTCCACGGTGTCTGAATTAGTTTGCTTTCTCAACAGTAGTATAGAAAGGTTTTCTTTTGTCTACATCCTCACCAGATTTGTTACTTGCTTTCTTAAGGATTTAAATTTTTAATTAATTTTATTTTATGTATTTGAGTGTTTTGCCTGCACATATGCAAGTACACTATGTGCCTAAAATGCCTGTGGAGACAAGAAGAGGGCATCAGATCCCATTGAACTGGAGTTACAGATGGTTGTTAGTCACCATGTGGATGGTGGGAACTTAACCTGGTCCTTTGTAAGAGCAATCTCTCCTCTTAATTGTGGAGCTATCTCTACAGTCCTGAGTATAAGATTTTTTAAAAAATAGTTTATTTATTTATTTATTTTATGTGCATGAACATCTTCCCTACACATGTGGAAGTGCACCTGTGTTGTGCAATGCCCATGGGATCAGAAGAGGGCATCGGAGCCCCTGGAACTGGAGTTATGGATGGTTGTCAGCTACTATGTGGGTGCTGGGAATTGAACCCGGGTCCTCTGCAAGAACAGTCAGTGCTTTTAGCCACTGAGCCATCTCTCCAGCCCCCATGAGTATAGGTTTTTAAAGCATTCCCTTACAATATTTTGAATTTCTTTGGTGTCTGTTCATCTCTGATTCTGCTAATTTGGGTCTCCTTTTTCTATCTTTTGGTTAACTTGGCTAAGGATCTTTCAATCTTCTTCATCTTTTCGAAGAACTAGCTCTTAGACTCTTTGTAATGTTTTCTTCATTGATTTCTGTTCTGATATTTATTTATTTTTTATATTTTTGAGACAGGGTCTCCCTGTAGCCCCAGCTGGCCTGGAAGTCGCTATATAGACCAGGCTGACTTCAATCTCACAGAGATTAGTCTGCCTCTGCCTCCTGAGTGCTGAGACTAAAGGCATGCACCACCATGCCTGGCTACAGATTATTGAGTTACAACGTTAAAGTCATTTGTTTATGCTCTTTCTGAGTTTTTAATGTAGGTACTTAGAGCTATACATTTCCCTCCTTTTAATGTGTGCTAGAGGTTTTGTTATATTGTGTTTTCATTTTCATTTAATTCCAGGAATTTTTGTTTTTGTTGTTGTTTCTTTCTTGATTTCTCCTTTGACCCATTCATCATTCAGTAGTGTGTTGTTTAATCTCCATGAGATCATGTAATTACTAGAGATTCTTTGGCTGCTGATTTTAAATTTTATGGCATTGTACTCGGATAGGATATATGGAGCTACTTCAATTTTTCTGTTTTTGTTGAGATTTATCTTGTGTGCAAGTATGCGCTCTATTTTAGATAAACTTCTATGGGCTGCTAAGTAGAAATGTACTGGATGTCCACATGTGGAAAAATTAAATTAGACTCTTATCTATTACCTTGCACAAAAATCAACTCCATATGGATCAAGGACCTCAATGTGAAACTTGAAACACTGAAACTTAGAAGAATACACAGGCAGTACCCTACAAGATATAGACACAGTAAAGGACCAAATCAAACTCCATTCACTCAGGAATTAAAGCCAGCAATTGACAAATAAGACCTCATTAAACTAAAAGTCTTCTATATAACAAAGGAAAGTTCCATAGAGGGGGGAGTGAATCTTTGCCAGCTATATAGCCAAGAATATACAAAGAACTCAAAAAAAAAAAGAATTAAGAAAACAAATGGCTGAATTAAAATTGGGCTACAGATCTGAATAGAGAGTTCTCAAAAGAAGAAATAAAAATGCCTAAGAAACGAGGCTAGAGAGACGGCTCAGCAGTTAAAAGCACTAGCTGTTCTTGCAGAGGCCACAAATTCTGTTCCTAGTGCCCCAATGGCAGCTAACAACCATCCATAACTCCAGTTCCAGGGGATCCAATGCTCTCTTCTAACCTCTGTGGGCACTGCACAAAATGGGTGCACTTACATGCAGGCAATATACTAATACATATAAAATAAAAAAAATATTTTTAAATGCCTAAGAAATATCTTTAAAAGTGTTCAAAATCCTTAGCAATTTGAGAATGCAAATTAAAACTACTTTAAGAGCTCATCTTATCCCAGTCAGACTATCTAAGATCAAGGCAACAACTGTCAACAAATCCTGGTGTAGATGCAGGGTTTGAAACCCTCATTCACTCACTCCTGGTGGGACTTGACTATGGACTGGGTACAGATTATGGACAGTGACATCAGTGTGGAGAATTAAAAAAAAAAACTAGAAGTAGACATACTATATGACCCAGCTATACTACTCCTTGGCACATACCCACAGGACTCAGTCTCCTACTACTTGCTCAGCCATGTTCACAATAGTTAGGAATGAAAACAACCTAAATATCCTTCAACTCATGAATGGATAATGAAAATGTGGTACATATACACAATGGAGTTATATTCAGCTACAAAGGAAAATGAAATCATGAAAAATGAAATCATGAAATGGATGGTACTGGAAAACATTATTCTAAGTGAGGTAACCCAGACCCAGAAAGACAAACACCTCCTATTTGTAGATCCTAGCTGTGAATCTTTAGATATGAGCATATAATCTGGAGTAACAACAGAAGCCAGGACAGTAGAAGGAACCATGGGGGAGGGGAGAAGGAGGTGATCTAAAGAGCAGGACAGTGAGGTATAGGCACTATCAAGGGGAAAATGGGGAAAATGGAAGGGGGCTTTGACTAGGGAGGGGGAGGGAGAGCGAGAGAGCGAGAGAGCGAGAGAGTGAGAGAGCGAGAGAGAGAGAGAGAGAGAGAGGAAGGACAGGTAAGCAATACTAAGGATGTCTGAAAAAGTCATAGGAAAACATATTGTTTAATAAGTTACTTTAAAAATGTATATATGATATATATGTGTGTATTGGTATAGTCCAAAACTATCTAACAAAAATTCCAGTGTCATAGAAGGAAAATCTCCCTTCAATATTTTTGTCAGGATAGTACAAGAAACTGCCCCCAAAATATAGGCTACTGCCATAGCCCACGGTTGCCTCCCAGAACTTGAAAGGTACTGCTAGAGACTCCACATACACCAGACACAGGACTTGAAGAAATCAAGTTGGAACTGACCTGGAATCCCTGAGGACTAGCTCTCATAGTATCAGAAGATGCTCTGTAAGCTGACAAGGGAGAAAAGCAATCAATAGCCCTACCCAGTTGTAAAGTCTATGAACTACAACAATGACTGGCCCAGCAAAATATTCATAAAGGTTCAATAGTGGCACTTTCATCTTGGGCATAACCAATAGCTGTCTAGATGAACTTAAGGCCCACTCAACGGGAAGGAGTTTATGCCTGGTACTGTAAATCTAGCCAAATACCCATGGCTGAATGGCTGGAGAGGTCACAGACCCTAGAGGAGAGCATATTACTGCCATTTCCCTAAACCAATATAATCCCTAACTATATTCTAAATATTCTTATATTCACAGATGAGTGTAGAACTCATTCAAGAAGGTTTTTTTGGGGGGGCTGGTTTTTTTTTAACAGCTGATGGAAACTATTACAAAGTTCTACAGCTGGTCAAAATGCAGAGAATAAGTCACCATGGGGTGGCCAGTCCCAACTGATACAATGCAACCCCTACACCTAAGGTTCAGAGAACATCATGGAAGAGAGCAGGAGGGGGTGTGTGTGGAAAGACTGTAAGGGCCATAGGACCAGGATGCCTGCTGCTAGTGTCTTCTAGATATGACAGGGTGAAATTTCACAATACAGTTGGCTTAAACAAGACCTGCATAATGACCATACCAACTGATTTGCCAATGTTAATGGGGGTATTTCATAGGGTCCCACCTCTAGATGAAGAGCTAAGGCAATCAATGGCTGCTGAGGGAGGGAGAATCAGTTTTCTTCAGGGACAAGTTCCCTAATAGGTTTCTTCAGGGACAAACTCCAAATCCCATGTGGTCAGCACTAAACATATGTACACACAAGTACCAATAAATGAATTCAGTAGATTATACATGTGTATGTACATACACACACCCACACACACACACATATACACATACACATGTAATAATCATAATAGAAAAAAAGGTCACAAAATGGAAAGGAAGTCAGGGGTAGGATAGGTTGGAGGAAGAAGAGGGAGGTGGAAGCAATGAAAACATAGCACACATGTATGAAATTCTCAAAAAAACGAAAAGCTTTAAGAAAAAATTTTTCTAAAGAAATACAAAGTAAAGAGAGCCAACTTAAAGATTTTTTCTACTACTTGAATACAGCCTGCATACTTATAATTTCATAACTCTACAGATTCTTATTCCCTCTGTTTATAATAAACAAGAACAGTAAGCTGAATAATGGTGCCCAAAAATGTCCATGCCATAATCTATAGAATTTGTGAATACGTGATAAAAGGAATGCTGCAGATAGATTAATGTTAAGAGTTCTGAAACAGCAAGATTACCCTAAATTATATAGTTGGACTCAATGTAACTACAGGAGTGCATAAAAGTAAAACATCTAGGATTAGGGCATAGCTCAGTTTTAAAGTACTTATCTAACATGCACAAGGGCCCATGATCAATACCCAACACTATAAAATAAAGAAAAAAAATCACAAAAACAAAAGAAAAAAACCACAGTACTTTCTTTAACCACAGAGAAAGACTATGACACTGGATAAAGAGAAAGGCATTCCAGAAAGATTCAACACTGCTGGCAATAAATACAAGCTAAGGAATGCAGACAATGTACAAAAGCTGGGAAAGAGAAGGAAATGAATCCCCATAAAGTATGCAAAAAAGAATGCAGCTGGGGCTGGAGAGATGGCTCAGTGGCTAAGAGCACTGACTGCTCTTGCAGAGGACCCAGTTCGATTCCCAACACCCAGGCAACTAACAACTGTCTGTAACTCCAGTTCTGGGGGATCCAACACCCTCTTCTGACCTCCATGAGCACTGCACAACATGGCTGCACTTATATATATGCAGGCAATGTACTCATACACAGAAAATAATAAATAAAATATTTTTTTAAAAAAGAATACAGCTATGTTAATCCCTTGATTTTTATCCCAGTGAGGCATGGGGTGGACTTCTGATCTACAAAGTTGGAAGGCAATAAAGTTCCACCACTTCAAACTGATGTTTATGGATCTAGAAGCACTAGAAAGCTAATACAACTAGCCTCTTTACGTAGAAAACCTTTCTCTACCTCTAGAACCCAGCTGCAAAACAGCCTCTTCTATGAGATCTCTAGCTTTTCAGGAAGTAAATGGCATTATTTCTAACATTTCCAAATCACTGTGTTATCTCTATCAAGACACACTGTAATTATTGAATTTATTGAATTAGTTTTTTTCAAGGTCTGGCCTTTTTTTTTGGTTCTTTGCATTCCCAGTGTATACCAAAGGAAAAGATTCAGTTAATGTGTGCTAAATGATGACAGGACCGTAGGCGCCATACTCATGACATGGTGTTTTCCCTGCACCCTATATTCTGATTCTTTTTTTTCTTTCATTTTCCTTCTTTTTTTTTAAAGACAGAGTCTCACTGTGTGGCCCTGGCTGGCTTGCAACTTGCTATATAGATCACAGTAGCATCAAACTCAAGAGATTCACCTGCCTCTGTCTCTCAAGTGCTGGGATAAAAGGTGTCACCACCATACTCAGAATTTTTTAAAGATTTATTTATATTTATCTGGGGGGGAGGGGTGCTCGTGGTAGCCAGAAAACAGCACTGGATTCCCTAGAGCTGAAGTTACAGGTAGTTGTGAGCCGCCAATATGGATACTGGGAACCAAGCTCGTCCTTTGGAAGAACAAGAAGTGCTCCTAACTACTGAATCATCTCTCCAGCCCCCTGATTCACATATACATATATTATATACTGTGTACTACTATTTACTTTCTGTGTCTTAAAAATATGTTTATGAACTCTGCAGCTTCTTATATGCAATAAGATAATGCTAAAGACATCCCAATGTATGGATTTAAATGCTATCAGCATACACAAATGGAAAAACTAACAGGGTAATGAAGATGCAACACAGTGCAGGGAAGGGTCTCTTCAACTGTAAAATGAAGGTATTTATTGGGTCTGATGAACTCTTTGTGAATTCTCTATAATATCTGATCCAGAGAAAATATGGCATAAAAAGCTTGCAAAAGTTAAAAAGCAGTAAAGTTTTCAGTAATAAACAATTTTCCTTTTCAAAATTACCTGATGGTGTTTCTGAAATCTGAGAGTTTGAAATGTGCTATGGCATTCAGGAATTCTCAGTTTCCATGGCTGGAGGCTACAATGTTCATTTTATTTATGTGTATTGAAGTTCTACTGTCTCTTTTACACTGCAGTACTAAAACTAGGAAAACTTTTAAGAAACAAGATACTGCCAGTGACAGTCCATGGGCAAATGCTTCAGATTTACATACACTGATATCTAGATTTACATCTATTAACCTATTTATGTCTATCAGCCTTTTGACCACTTTCTTCAGCTTATCTTCTAAATATGGACAAATAGCACATAGAGGGACAGAAAATTATGGCAAAAGTGAGGTAACTTACACTAAATGAAAGGCACAGCCTAAAGCATGCTACAAAGGGATAAAACATCACAAACCTGTACTTTGAGGAAAAGAAGTACTGATCTCAAACTTACTTTTAGGATTTCGTAGTTTAGCAGACCGTGCCATGGCAAGATCAAAGTGAGCCTGGTCTACATTCTCACACAGGTTTATAATGCGACACAGGCAGTCAGCAGCAAACACCCGAGTAGCCCAGCGAGGAGCCACAAAAGGCTTTGACTTATCTTCCTCTCCCAGTGTAGTAAACATGGTATCGTCATCCATCTCATCTTTCTTTTCAGATTCTTCATCTTTCCCACTGCTTAAGGGAGTTGCTGTGCTCATATCTACAACAAAAATGAATAACAATGTGAATCTTCACATACAGCAAAATAATGCCTCAGAAAGACCATTAATTCTCACACCCAGGAAAACAGAACTGACAGACTTCTGAATCAAAAATCAAAGAGAGCATAGAATAAATTAATTTTATGCACATTACATTTACAGATTTGAATAGAATTATAATACTAAGTTGTACTGCAGAATGACCTGGGATTTATGAGAAATAAAAATTCAGTTTGAACCTCCAAAGAATTTGAAATACATTTTCAAATGCATATTAGAAGTGGATTGGTTTATACTGTAACACAATGTTCTATACTTTTATAGGAATTTAGGGATGAAAAAAATTACCGATACTTTTAGATGTAAGCTTAAATTAATATAGATGTACATTTCTATATCTGTATATCTGCATTTATATATCAAAGTAAAACCATTTTCATTATTTCAAAAGCACATATTAGGGGCTAGATAGACAGCTCAGCAGTTATTAGCACTGGCTGCTCTTCCAGGGGACCTGGATTCATTTCCCAGCACCCACACAGTGGCTAACAACCATCCGTAACTTCAATTCCAAGGGATTCGACACCCTCTTCTGGTTTCCATGGATACCTATACACATGTGGTACATATACAGACAAGCAGACACACACATACACATAAATAAGTAAAAATTTAAAAATGTTTTTAAAGAAAGAATACATATTAAATATGTACCACTAGAAGCTGCCAAGACATCTTTACAAAGCATTAACCAGTGGGAAAGCTTTTCAACTGCCAACGAAGAAAGCATGTGTCCCAATGTGTCATGGATGTCAGAACACAGTTTTCGATCTGTCTCCCGGTCCAGCATTCCAAAAAGAAGTCCTTCAAGACCAGTCTCTGTTATATTCACGCCTTGGTGCCAACAATGGATATCACCTCGAGCACTAACTCCAGGCACAAAAGGATTGACATCTGAAAGGTAATTTTACAAATGAATTTCTGTGGGATGTTATTATACGCTACAGTTAGCAACCATGTTAAAGAACAAGACTTACATGTAATTTCACAATAGCAACAAAAACTACCTATAAATATAATTTAGCAAAGGTCTCCAGCTTACAAATTTTGGGGTTAAAATTTAACCTGATAATAAGGGTTTTTAAAACTGATGATTCTGATTTATTAGAATATAATACTTTTAAACAAAGAATAATATTGGCCAGTGCGAGAACTCACTGGCAGGACCGCTCTCTTTGTCCCCTGCGTTCTTCGCTAGGCTCATGGCATATTCACACACTTCTGCTGCTTCCCGTTGTGCAAGTTGCCGGAGACACGCCACAGCTGCTCGTCGGAGCAGCAAGTGGGAGCTGCATAGGTGAACCTGCAAGCACATTTCAGGAAAATTTTAAAGCTGTAACTCTTGACGTTTACTTACCCCACAAGCATGTCCTTTTGAAGAGGTTCCTCATTGAACAACCTTGGTTATTTAAAATACACTCATAGAATAGCATTTTGGCAAGATAATATCAGTAAGAAATATAGAAAATACATCAATAGCAAAAAGAACTATGCTGAGACTTGCATTCTAAAGCTCATGCAATATACTCAGATGAAAGCTCAGGACCTTCTGTGCATCTTAGTTTATACATGGTCTTACTTAAATGCTGTCATCTAAATTCTTTTAAGTATACAGAAATCAAATGCAGTGAACAGAAAGTGAGGAGGCAGAACACATGGCAAGAACTGGAAATGAAATGGAAGGCTTATTAAAATGAGTAAAACAAAATCAAACAAGTATAAACACACCTGAAAAGAACTACAGAGGCTAGGTATAAAATTTTCCATCTGAAAAGTCAGTTAAAAAAAATCAACACAGTATATGCCAACAAAGGAAAACAGCAGAAATATAATGGTTAAGAACTCAGACTTGGGGCATAGTGGCACATGCCTTTAATCCCAGCTCTCAGGAGGCAGAGGCAGGTATATCTCTATGAGTTCAAGGCCAGCGTGCTCTACACAGTGAGTTCCAGGTCAGCTGGGGCTACAGGGAGAACCTGTCTCAAAAAGAATTTAAAAAAAAAAAAAAAAAAAAAAGAACTCAAGCTTCTCAAGCTTGAGCTGGGCATGGTGGTACATAATCCCAGCACTCGGGAGGCAGAGGTAGGTGGATCTCTGTGAGTTCAAGGCCTGCCTAGTCTACATAAGGAGATCCAGGCCACCTGGGACTACAGAGAAACCTTGTCTCCAAAAAAAAAAGAAAGAAAGGAAAGAAAGAAAGAAAAGAATAAAGAACTCTGGCTTGAATGTCGGTTTGCATTTGAATCCTACCTCTGTAGGATTATGCCCATATTTGTCTATTTGTAAAATAGGAACAATAATCATCACAGAATTGTGGCAAAAATAAAATGTTACCAAAGTAAAATGCTTGTAGCAATGCTGACACACTCAATACTCAATAAATATTATATACTTGATAAATGTTAAATATTATTATATTACTGCAGGTATTGCTTTCTTACAAATAAAATAAGTAATATATCTGAGAAAGAATAACAGTCACAAATGATAGAGGTGGAAAGGAATACCATGTAGAACATATCACCCCCTCTCAAGCTAGTATATCTTTGTGCTATTAATGTACACTTATCTACTTAAGATATACATTCATAGGGGCTGGAGAGATAGCTCAGCAGTTAAGAGCACTGGCTGCTCTTGTAGAGAACCTGGGTTCAGATCTCATTATTCACATAATGACTAGTGTCTGTAACTCCAGTTCCAAGGGATCGAACACCCTCTTATAGCCTCTGCAGGCATTGCATGACATGGGTGTACTTACATACATGCAGGCAAAACACTCATACACATAAAATAAAAAATAAAATTAGAAAAAAAAGACACACATGTATAAAAATCAGTCCACGAAATCATATAATATATAAAGAAAAGATGTAACTGAGGGGAGAAAAGCCTTATAGATTTTTTTACTAACAAAATGCATTATCTACTTCTCTGCTAAAAATACAGATCATCCCAAACTTTCAAAGACCCTAAACTAGAAAGCTGAATATCAAATACGAAGAACAAGTCACTTGCTCTTTCTGACATTTTTATCTGTACAGTTTCAATCTCTTAGGAGGTTTTCCTCTAGCAGGTGCCTTGTTATGCCCTTCTGTTTATGTTCTATCATGTTAGCCAATCAAAGCAAAATACATGAAAATAATATATAGTATGTGCATGTATATGCATATGTGTATATGTTACACACTTTCAATCTAAGCTAGGCTTGACAAAAAATTTTTTTAAGTCCATAGCTATAATGGTAAACTCTAATTGCTTTGTGTCAGTAAAAAAGTGGGTTTGGTCTGGCAAAATGGCTCAGCTCACAGAGGTGCTTGCCACCAAGACTGATGATCTGAATTTGATCCCCAGGACCTACATGTTAGAAGGAGAGAACCAACTTCTGCAGGTTACTCTGTCTTCCACACATGTGTTGTGGTATGCACACACATGCACACACAAACACATAGTAAGTAAACAAAAAAATGTAAAAAAAAAAAAAAAAAGCCAAGTAGCAATGGCAATTGCATATATGCACACACAAAGTAATACTCCAGGCACTGTATACATCTGGAATGACCGAACACAAAATCCAATAGAGAAAGCACTTTCTTTTATTTTCGGTCTTTTTTCTGAGACAGGGTCTCCCTGTAGCCCCAGCTGTCCTGGAACTCACTATGTAGACCAGGCTGGCCTTGAACTCACAGAGATCTGCCTCCCGAGTGCTGGGATTAAAGGTGTGCACCACCACGCCCAGCGAGAAAGCACTTTCTTAAAAAAAATTTCAAACTCAAAGTCATTCACTGAAAGCTCCTAAAGTTATTCCAGATGACACAAAGGCCTCTGTGCAATGATTCTTTCTGGAAAAGAGGAACTGTGGTCACATGACAGACAAAGCAGCTGTTTCCAAGGACAGAAATTATAATAATTCAGAATGGCATCTGTTCACTTAAAAATACATTTTGAGTAGTTTTCTTTCCATGCATAGTTTAATGTTTATATCATTTATTGAATACTGCTATAGTAAAATGCTCCTCTCAATACATTTTGATGAAAAAAAATCATATTCATTTTGTTTCAGAGACTGCACATGCCATCACATGTTATGTCCATTTATAGTGTAAAAGACTGCATAGAACTGAGCATAAGTTTACAAAATACTGAATGAATTCATTCACTACTTTGGATGAACCCATATGTAGACTATTTTTCAGTGAGCATCAAAACACCTGTTCAGTGTAAACTGCGTGAGAGGCTTTTGGCAATGTTTCAACATGACAACAACTTGAATGACTATTTTTCTAATTTCTACCCTGCTACACTATCTCCTTCCCAGCTGACAATAATCTCACTTACCTAGTCTGAAGGAGGTTCAGGAAAATATCTACCATGCCTTATAATAAAATCCTTGATGTTCCACTAAAGAATCCAGTTTGGAGACATCATCTTATGTTACCGAAGAGGAAACTGATTATGTTCCCTGTGGCTTAGTGATAAGCTCCACAGAGATAAAGAAACACATAGTTTTCCTTTGCTAGATCCCTTTAACTATGTTTCATCTAATCAGGTCAACCTCCAGAGCATAACTACATTTAAGGAGGAAAAAGAATGGGAGTTGAAGAGACGACAGTTCAGTGGGTAAAGCCACTTATGGGCAAGCCTAAGGACCTAAGTTTGGATCCCCAGAACCCATGTAAAAAATAAAGAACTTCATAGAGTAGTGCCTGTATCTATAATCCTGGTGCCTATACTAAGAGGTAGGAGGTGGAGACAGGAGGATCCCCAGAAGCTTGAAGGCGAGTTTGCCTGGTTTAGGCAGTAGTGAACAAGAGACTCTGTCTCAAACAAGGTGAAAGGTGAGAACCCATACCCAAGGTTGCTCTCTGACCTCCACATACACGTCATGTTACCCTCTTGCCCCCCCCATATATACACAAAGACAAAAAATGTTTTTAAACGAGAAAAAAACAGAGCTAGAAACCAGAAAGCCGAGGAAGGTAGATCTATGTCTTCACTGGCCTGGTCAGTTCCCCATCCAAAGTATATAAGGTATGTAACAAGCCCATCTTGCTCAACAAATACCATCTATGCCCTCATAGGTTACATTAGGTAAGAGCTTTAGGCAGAATGCTTAGTGTTTTATTACAGGGTTCAGTGTACTGCACACTAGTATTCCATAGTTTTTTGTGGATGCCCTTTGTAAAAAATGTGGTGTGCAGGGTAGGCTAAGGCTGAGATCCTAGCAGACAGCCTGAGAGGGTGGGCTCCACTTTCCATCAGTGTAGCAGCTGTGATCTCAGCAGACTGCCAGAGAGTGCTGGGTTCTGGCCTCCCTCTGGCATAGGGGCTGAGAACACAGGGAATTGCCTGAGAGCACCTGGATCCTGCCTGCACTCGGTGGTGACCTTCCCCTAATTGCCCCATACTTATGCCCCTACCTGAGATTTTGTGAGGCCCTTCCCAAGGCCCCAGGGCAGATGTGGCTCTAGTAGCCTAAGGCTGAGATGCTAGAGACAACCTGAGTGGATGGGCTCCAACCTCCATCAGTGTAGCAGCTGTGATCTCAGCAGACGGCCAGAGAGTGCCAGGTTCTGGTCTCCCTCTGGCAGAGGGGCTGAGAACACAGCAGACAGACTGAGAGTCCCAAAACCCACCCTCCTTGGGGAATTTCTCAAATTTTCTCTGAGCTCCTGCTAATAGAGAAGGAAGGCTTCCTTAGAAGGAAGCTGAGTGTACCTGACTGGAACCTGATTTGGACTTCTGTGGGTGCTCCTGAATAGCTGATCTGAAGCCATCAGTTCCCTCCAAAATAAAAACTGATAGAACCTGAAACCTGTACCAACCAGCATTACATAACCAATAAGTAAAGGGCCCAGGCAACCTGATAATACAAATAGAATAAACTTCAACTTAATTCTCATATCAGAATCATAAACAACAAAAGAAATTCACATGCCAAAATCACAATGAAAGAATAATAAA